TTCCCTACATAGTATTTTTTTCTTTTGTTTTTTATTATGATTTTTTTTAAAATTTTCTTTATTAATTCTATTTTTTTAATATTAAGCTGATTAAAAATTTAAATTTATAATTTTTTCCTTAAAAATATTATAAATTATGATAATTTTTTTTCATATAATTTTTTTCTACTAAATTACAACAATGTACAAGCATATTATATGCCAAAAGTCCATAGCATCACATGGACATGACATTTAGTCATACAACTAAAAGGTATGGACAAACAAACTTGTTCGAATGCTTACTTAATAAAATAAAAAAAAACTCAAATACTTACCTTAATAAAAACAAAAAAAAGTAGTGAACAAGGTTAATATATTATTTCAATCATTTGATATCATAATTATTTTGTGCCTTCACTAACATGTGGCGTTAGGTTTGAGCCGGAGCGTGGATATTATTTTTTGTCATGTAATAGCAGACAAGTTGCTTGTCACATAATTTTTTTTTTTTAAAAAGGTTTTCCACCTCTCAAACATACAATAAATAAATAAATAAATAAATAAATATATATATATATATATATATAGGGTCCGCCTCAACCCCACGTGTCTGGATTTGTTGTATAGGCTTGGTGGCCAATTTTGATGGGCTTTTTTGTTTGTGGATATTTATATTTTTTTTTTACATTTAATTATTTAATTTTTATTATTAATTTTGGATTGATTATAAATATATTATTGTATTTTTTGTCATATAATAAAATAAAAAAATAATTTAACTTAATAAGCTTTGAGTCATGAATTTAACACATGTTATTTTTTTGTATCTTTTTTTTTTAAGGATATACCCAACTCCTAAAAAATCTAAATATATATTTTTTTTTATATTCTCAAAAGTTTAGATCCAACCCGTGGCCAATAGTAGAATCTATCTGGGATGTCGTTCAAAACTGTTATGCTAGAGCCGAGACAAGACTGAATTTATAAAAAAGTATGGTGATTTGGATGAATAAATAATAGATGGCATGCATAGCAACGAAGTCGTTGTAGTATAGTGGTAAGTATTCCCGCCTGTCACGCGGGTGACCCGGGTTCGATCCCCGGCAACGGCGTTTATGTTTTCAGAATGCAATTGTTTTTGTTATCCAGGTGACTGACGGATTGACCTTGCTGAAGTACCTGAACATAAGAGTAGTGGCCTCCATATCAGCGTAAGAGAGCTAAACGGTTTCACCCGTTGATTTCTCAGCTTTAAGTAATTCTTCCGATTTCATTGAACAATTTCGCTCTGGTTCCATTGACCTCTGGAAGATTTCATAATCTAATAATGTCCTCTGCCGATCATTCTATAATTCTCCTTCACTACGATATCTGTCATGAAATTGCAAAGAGTACTGGCATGTCCAGACACGTAGTAAACATTCTTGCCATGCAACCTTACAGAGCTCTGTGTATCATTAATATCAGCGCACTTCCCTTGGCATAATCTGCCAGGCGCCCTGGGTACACAGTTTATGCCGGCTTGTAGCAATTTGCTTTACCTTGTGAAGGATAAATGGCGGTCACTACAGAAAGCTGCATGAGCAACAGATAGATAAAGGGGTTCTAGTAGCTGGATCTGCTGTTGTGTACAGATTGCAGGCGAATGTCTTCCTCAGCTGTTCATTTGGATCAGCACGTGCTTTGAAGGCCCTCCTGTACAGAGACTCAAATCCACCTGCTTTAGCTTCAGGCCGGTTCATCTTGCGCCGTGCAGCTCCGGGAACTGATGAATTCAAGATGATCGTGATGTTGACAGTAAAAAGTTGATTTCTCAAGTTTCTCAAATCTAAATCATCAAAAACATGAAGTTGTGCCAAATGTTGTGAGCCATGGTCTCTGCCTTGGTACCCCTACAATGGATTGTTTACTGCTGCTACTTGATGATTTTTTTTAAAAAAAAATAATGTAAATGTTCGAACTAATTAATTTTAAAACTAATATTATAAATTTTAAAATTAATAATTATATAAATTTTTAATAATTCTAAAATTCATAAATTTTAAATTAATAATTTTTAAAAAATAAATCTAAAATCCCAGTGGTTAAACTGATTTGTTATACAAACAAACAGGACCAGCTAACCTTCAAATCAAGACCGTTCAGTATGTTTATTTGTCAATATTATCCAACGAACGAGAAAAAGAGATCGTCAACTTACAGAAAGACAGCCCTCACAATATTACAATCCCATTAAGAATAAAAAATAAATAAAAATCCCCCTCATCTTCAAGCTTTGCAATCTTCCTGTCTTAACAAAAACAACAGAAACCCTTCCATCCATCTATCGATCCATCTTCTCTTCAATCTTGAAGAGCCCCAAAAGATAGTCATGAGTTACCAGAGAGCCCCTCATGATCCCTGCTCTCCTCCAGGTAATCAACCTCTCTTTTCCCCCCTTCTATTTTGAATTTAGAATCTGATTGATTTTGAACTGACAGGGTACTCATCACCTTACCCGCCTCCAGGGTACCCGCCATCAGCGCCTCCCCCACCACCATACGAAGGGTACCCACCACCACCTCCACACGAAGGGTACCCACCACCACCACCTCCAGGGTATCCAGGATACCCACCACCGGCGCCACCACCTCCAGGATATCCAGGATCCCCCCCACCGGGGCCACCACGTGGGTACCAAGGGTATTTCGCTGAAGGGTATCCAACGCCTCCAGGTCCGCCACAGTACCAGCAGTGTTGTCATTATGAACATCACCCTTACCAGGATAATTATGGTGGTTGCTCCTCGTTCTTACGTGGATGGTATGCGCTTTTTTTTTAATCTCTGTTTCTCATGTCTCTTGTTGATAATCTTATGGTAGTTGGGTTTTTATTGGATGCGGTCGTTATAATGTTGATGTTTTTATCTAATATAAAGGGATGGTTTACTTATTTATTTTTGTGAGATCTTGGTCTTGAATTTTGTTTAATGTTATGGGATTCAAGTCAATGATGGAGTTTTAAATGTTTAGAACCAGTAGATAGTTCCATCTTAGAAACTTGTCCTATCTTATCAGTTTCATTTTGGATCAGTCGAGGCAACAACTAATTCCGTCTTAGATTATCGTCCAATCTAATACTGTCTGTAATGAATTGCACTTGACTGGTTGCGGGTTTTCTTTAACAATATGAGGTGGTCAGATGGTGTTGAATCGGCAATTATATATGTAGGATTGGTTGGGCATCTAATCCTCAGGCGACCAGGAAGATATTTTTATCTAACTACTTCGTGAAAACCTAACTATTGCATGACTAGGGCACATATACTTATTTAGTCAATCTTTCTCTTGCATCCATACTTTACTAAACATGCATGCAGATCCGTGTCACAGCGAAACTGTTAGAATACAACGTTTGAAATATTTGCTCAGCTTATAACAGCAATATGCATCTAGTGCTTTTTAATGGCTGTGCCAAATCTCTGGCCAGTACGTTACTTACTAAGGCTTGTAAAAGAATAGAGCACAATAGAACTGCCCATGCACCTAACAAAGGTTGGTAACTAAGCAATGGAAGGGTCTTGAATAAGCCTTGTAAATCCTTAAAAACCTGCTGTGGTTGATCGAATATCATACTATAACTTAATGGATTGAGAGCCCATAACTGAACAAGCTAACTTGAAATTTATGAAGTACGACTAGGAAACTTGCGTCCTACTCGATATCTGTAATCTTGGTAAAATTGGTGCTAGATCAGCTAGAGGCTTTTGATATCTGGTGTTCATTGGTAAGTGTTTAGTTCGAACTCTGGTAGGATCCGATTGTCTTGTCACCTTGTGGCAATTAACTCTGCGAGATGGGAACTCTAGGACTTCTCTTTCTTTTGGGTTTTATTAGGCGATTCATTATTTAAATTATAAGAGATCCCCCCCCACCCCCCAGGCGGCTGGTGTCAGCAAAGTGAAAGGTATGAAACCTTGGAGCTTTAATCAGTAGCATCCTTGTTAACTGGAGGTCCAAAGAGAATATCAATTTGGATTTTCGTTTTGCTCTTCTTTATAGAAACATGCATGCATACACATACATCGGATGACATTAAACATGATGGTTAAGTATCTATAATCTTATTGGAGCACCAGGATAATTTACTTCATTATCATAGCTCACAAATTATGTCGAACAAGATCCTAAACAATTGTCTGACATACAACAGTGGACAGCCATATACATCTAGCAGTTTTTATTGTCTAGAATTAGCCTCTTACTTGTACCATTCCTATGAAGGTCCTGACACGGCATTGAAAAGAAGGGTCTATGCTCATCACAAAAATTGGCAGTTGTTGTAAAGAAAACAAAAGATTTTGATTAAGCTCTGTAGATCAGAAAAGACCTGACTAGGTCAATGGATTAATATATTTCTTACACTTGTAGCATTCAGTGCTTGGAATTCAGAACTCAACAAGTTATCTGACAGATCGACAACTGACTGTTACTTCAGTCATAGTCAATGTCTACAAGTTCTGGATCCCCAGGATAAACAGGAGCTTTTTGATACCTTGTGATCATTGTCTTTGATGTTTCTCTCTTGTGGACATCAGTATATGTCTTCTCTGTGTTTGATATTAAATCTTTGGTTTCATATCCTGTGGCCTTGAACAGCTTTCCATGCTGCAAATGCATATAGTTTTGTCATTTGGTTAGCAATCTGGCATGCTGTCGCTCAATGATTTGCATTATAAATGAGGGAGCACTTGATACTTCTTTGTTGTTCTGAATGCTTCCGGTCTCTTAGCTATTGGTATTTTGGAAATTGGATTGGTAAATCCGTAGTTACTTCACCTTGCAATGTTCTGATCATGGTATCTATTTGATTTTGTGTATGGACTTCATTTAATGAATGCCACCTTTTTTTCTTAATTATTGATGTGATAATGATGGTTATTTATTCTAAATGTGCAGTTTGGCCGCACTTTGTTGCTGTTGTGTGTTGGAGGAGTGCTGCTTCTAAAATCTGGTTGCTTCATTAATTTTCAAATGATGTATATGGGGTCTGGTAATTCTGGTTTTGCGTTGTGGTTGTTGAGAGATTCTGTATTTGTATGGGTTTCTATGCACATATAATTTAATAGTCATTTCCTCCAAATTGGAAACAATATGAATATGCTTCAATGCTATGATTTCATTGATCTTCTTGACTTTAATGCGGCATCCTAGATAAAGTTCTCTGGCAAAGCTTACTCCTGTGCTGAAGGCTTCTAGCAAAGCATTTCTTTCTTTTCTTTTGCGTCAGCAAGGAAAGCTTCATATTTACTCTGCAAGCTGATGTCAGTGACTTCATGACTTTGAAGGATCGTGGAAGGTGGAAAAGGTCTCCATTAAGTAAAAAATAAAGGTTGTAAGCTAATGGTCATAGCAAAGAACCCACAAAAGATACCTGCATGAAGTTTTCAGGAAACTTCTTTGGAGGGAAAGCATAAGTTGAGACACCTTCAACTGCAGTCGAGGAGTTGCGCAATATGAAATTGGGTACAGCTTGTTATCATCTGCTAGAAGCCAATGATTCATTAATAGACTGACGTTGACTGCCGTTTAAGATTTCTCAGCGCTTCTGCTATGCTACTTAGGGTCCGTTTTGTGGTGTAGATGGTGTTTTGCTATAACGGTCGTTTTAAAAATGTTTGGTTAATTAATATATATTATAATTTTATATTTATTTTACTAAAAACTCTTAATTTGTGTTTTTTTAATTTATTTTTTTAAACCCCTACCACAAACACAAGTATTTGAGAATATAGTAGTTTCTATTTTTAAGTGTATTTTATTTGATAAAATATTAAACTAATGTATTTTTAGTGTTATTTATAGTTTTGATGTTAAAAATAAAATTAAAAAAATTATGTTAATATATTTTCATGCATGATATCAAACAAACACTTGAAGTTGGTGTATTTTTAGTCTTTAAGCTTCGCCAAACCTAGAATTTTTTTTATCTGAAGAACTTCCATTCATGCGTGATACTAACAAGCTGAAATCCTAGCATAGAGCATCCTAACAAGGAATTCAAGTCAAGTAAAATCCAGTTTATGTTCTGAGTTATGGGTTTGACCTCTTCACGAAATCTCCGACAAGTTAATTAAATGTGACCACCAACCGGGTCAGCTCTTAACCTTGTCCGATATGAAACCTGACCCAAACCCCATTTACACAGAATGAGATTTTTACAACATTGATGCATGGGACCGTGTGATAATAATTGTAGTAGGTTTAGTTAAAGAATCGAGCTGAACTCTTCTGCCCGTACTCTATAGGAGTTCGGAGTTCCATTATCTTCAGTCTTGTGAATATCTGCTTAGAAGGAAGGTAGGCAAACTCGTACTTGAGAATCCAATTCCTGCTGGAACTGGCTGATCATGCAAATACTTGCACAGTTACATATATAAAAACATGAAGTACAAAGTAGCAATCTCTTACAAATTTATAAAAAAAATAGTCGCATGCCACCGGAACATCAGTAGGCTAAAAAATCCATAAAATCAGCTGCCTAAACAAAGTACAACTACTTAATAACAGTGAAATACTGGGCAGGGCCTCAAAAACACACCCCTGGTTCACCTATAAAGTCCAAACGAACTCTGGTGCATCTTCCCTTCGCCCCGCCAATGTCCGATATAGGAACATCTTCTCTACCTTTTGCCTATCATCAGCACTAACATCCATCTGATCATTTTCATTAATGATCTCCACATTGAGCCTTGGCATCTTCTTCGCAAGGGACTTGCAGCCTCCAAGGGTAACTTCGCATGATGACATCCAAAGGGATCGCATTGTTTCATACTTTCCCACGTCCATTAAAAGCGCTGCATTACCAAAAGGGCAGTCCCTTATCTCTAGCTTGCGAAGCTTTTTGCAACCATTCAACAGATATTGCATTCCCTTGTCAGTGTCCCCAGCAAATGCAATAGAAAGCATTTCAAGCTGCTCGGCATACATTCCAATGTAGAGGAAAACTTTATCAGTCAGCAGGCCAGCCATTGACAAGCGCCTGAGACCCTTGCATGAATGAACAATAGCCCCAAAACCTTCATCCAATGGCTGATTGGTCACAGCGTCTGGTTTTGTGGGGTCAAGGATGCACAACCGGAAGCGGGTAAAGTTGGGGCAGTTCTTAGCTACAGTAATGAGGGCTGCATTGGTCATCTGCTGACAGAAGTATAGAATTGAGTGGAGCTTACGGCAACCACTAGAAAGAGCGACCAAGCCCACTTCTGTCACAGCTGCATTCCCAACGTATGGATCAGAAGGAAAGACCCTTATTTCCTGCAAATCCTTGCAAGTGGAAGCAACAACTTCTAGTCCTTGGTCTCCAATGCAGTCCAGTATCTACAGATATAGCATAAACCACTAAAAGTCATCATGAGAACAAGTAAACTTGTGAGTTCCTAAAAACAGGTAAACAGGCATACCCATAAGCGCTGGAGTTTCATGCAGTGGCGAATTAGCTTTATGAGCTCAGCACCATGAATTCCTGGAGCATAACTTAAGTTCAAGGAAGTCAAGTTCGGGCAGATTAAGTGAAAAGCTGGTAGGCAGTGGGGAGCAACCTCCAGAAATCCTGACAAACTCTTGACTGACATACACTTTTGAATAGCCATCACTAATTTATTATAGGTCTCAGAATCTGGATCATTTACATAAGACCCTACACCCAAGTCCACTAAATGAGGTGCTCGGATCAATATTTTTTGAAGTACATCAAGTGGTACTGCATGATTTAACCTCAAACTCCTCAGATTAGGAGATCTTGCTATAAGTCTCTCAAGTGCTGCTACATTGACCTCTCCTTTGAGACATGCAAAATTAAGTGATACAAGAGATGTACAGGTATCAGGAAAGCAGCTAAGCCAATGGCCTCTATGATCTTCAACATCGTTTTCTTGCAGGTCCAGCTCCCTAAGAAACCTGGGTCGAAGAAAGACATTCAAAGTAGTTAGAACATAGCCAATTATCTCCTGAAACCCCTCACGTCATTTCCTTCTATTCATATTAAGTCAACGAAATGATTATTGCTCCTTGTTTAGTCGGCATTGTATCTTTCAGAGGCTTTTAAAGAGATCAAATTGGATACCAATTTTCACAAATAATTGAAGCCTCAAACGCGAAACAACCATCTGGACTAACAATGAACGCCACTTAAGACTCAATTGGGAATTAGAAAGAGACTTCAGAAATCATAAAGGGAGGTTTTTCGTTTTTTTTCCTTTTTTTTTGGAACGAGGGGCCAATGCAGTAAAATTTACAAATAGCAACACCAACACCACATAAATGCCTACAGAACATTATAAATAACAAGTATAGAGCCGAATCACATGCCCTTCAAGAAATGCCTACACAACATTATAAATAACAAGAAGTATAGAGCCGAATCACATGCCCTTCAAGATCTAAAAAACAAAAGAATCATCAAATCTTCCAACACTTTTCACCGTACAGTTACACCAAACTACATCCACCACTCCATCATAGATTCCTAAGCCTTTTAGGTTGTAATTTTACTCTATATTCAGTAACTGGCAAGCAGATTCAAGCATTAATTGCTTAATAACCATATATCCACCGTCAATTTGACAGCCACAGAACCCCATGCAATGCAAACCAAAACCCGTACTGCAAAACAAATCCCAAATCTAAAAATACTAGTCTCAATATTACTTCTCTCTAGTCAAATCAAAGGCATTCCAAAACCAAATTGCTAGTAAGAACCCAAACAGACTTGACACTAGCACTAGTATTCAAATATTAACAACCACCATGGCCAGAACAGAGCTAGCACTTGCATTAGTACTCCACAAATAGCAACCACCAAAACTATGTTAAGAAGCCTAGTTTTCTTGTATCACGCTTAAAAAAATTATAAATGAAAAATCAGCAGTAACAGCAAAATACAAGCCAGATGGGTAATCAAACAAGACAGAAACAAAAACCCACAAAGCAAAGCATTTCTTACCTACAATTAGAAGCAATAGCAGCAAGGCCATCAGTGCTGAAGCCTTCACAACTAACAAGAACCAAGGACTTGAAATTGGCAAAAGACCTTGAAATCAGCTCCAAGCACTCATCGGATATTATCATCCTCTTCAACTTGAGCTCCTCTAACCCCATATTATTCCTTGCAAAAGCTTCAATCCATGGATAAACAAAGCCTCCCCAATCATGTGGAACCAAATTAAAATCAGCAAAATGAGGCTTTCCCTTCAAAGTAATAGATTTTAAACCAGGAAACCTCTCAATCACTCTCTGAGGACTAATTGCATAACAATTGCCTACAAAAACCTTCTGCCTGCTACTACTTTCGATCTTGTACCATGGTTTACATACTTGGGACACTGAGTTCCTGTCTCTTTGTGATGTTACAAAATCGAAAATATGCTCTAATACTTCATCTGGGAAATAATTCATTTTAATTCAAAACCTACCAAAGAAAAGAAAAGAAAAAAAACCTAGATCTAGAAACTAGAACTTTTTATCTTTACAACGATTGAAACAGATCCAGAGATCTAAAAACCAAATGGGTTTATTAAAAATGATACAAAAGAGAGAAAATACTCAAACTTTCTCAAGAAAGTGAAGGCAAAATTTATGGGTTTTCTTTTCTTTCGTTAGGTTTTATGAAATGATAATGTTGTTGAATCCGATGGTGATGATTACATTACACAGAACTGAAAAACCCAAGAATAAACATTGACAGATCAAACAAACGAGATCTGAGACCTTGAGGGTTCCATAAATGGAAATTCTTAACTAAATAAAAAATCCCAAGATAACAATAACAATAACAGTAACACAAAAACAAAGAGATTATGTTACAGAGAGGGAGACCACCACGTACTACCACTTCAAGTTCAGATTTTTCATCTCTCCTCTCTCTATATTCCCAGAAAACCCAACAGAAAAAGAAGAACATGGAAAAACTTGTGTTTTTTAAGTTTAACTCAAGTGACTTGCAGCTTAACTTAACCATGGTTCGAAACAATGTTTTCTTCTAACCATGGTTAGTCCTCTCTGGATCTAAGGGTGAGAGTGATCTGGTTAAAAAGCAGAGAGAATCTTGACCGTTGATTTGTGTGGCATGCGTGTGTCCTTGTATATCTGCTAAAATCCTCCTGTTAAAGAGATGAGTAGTAATGGACTGTTAGTTAACTGGCCACAGAGCCCCGTTCCATTTACGAGAATGCCATGGCGTCGATAAGGTTCCTGTTTCTGTACTCGCGAGTGTGGCGCACTCGCTCTCTCGGTCGCAGACATCACCATGTGGGGAGGCATGGCCGCGACCCGGTTTGACAGAAGAGGATAAGGAGTGAAGGGTATAGAGAATCTGTACTCTCTGAAGTGGGGTTTATTTAGTGTACCACAAGAAATGAGGGACTTCCTTTGTGTGTCAGCAGATTTTTCAGGTTTTTTTTTTTTTTTTTTTTTTTATTAATGATGAAAAATTAAATAGAGTTTGTTTGTG